TTTCTAGTTTTTCTCGGAGTCATAAAAAAACGAAGAATCATTGCTATAAGTGATGGATGAAGTAATTATCGTTAACTCATCATAATCTCTTTTCCACTATTATTGGTATTTTCTCGGAATAGAAAAGTTCACTTTGCTCTTTGAAAGTTGAGGTTGCGAAATAATTATGAGATAAACACCGACCATGATCAACCACCGGAAAATCAATCGCCATATGATGATTTAATTATAAAAAAAAATCAGTGACTTATGGAATAAAATAACAACCTGATAATTTGTGCCTGCTATTTTATTTAATTATCAGTTTAATGGTTTGTTATGAAAACTGAGCGAATTATGGATATTTTGTAATATTACCGTCATATTACTGTTTTAGTTTTACTGTTAATATTTATTGAATGAATTTGATCATCGGAAACCACATCATTGATCGGAAGTAATTGTCTGGTATAAACCTTACTCATTACTTGATATCGAGATCAATGGAGTTCTCTTCAACCATTTAATTAAACTCGAAATAAAAATGATATTCAGTTGAAGGAGACAGGGCAATCTGGCAATCATCAAAGGAGTTGCTCAAAGACTATCGAGAATCCAGTTAACGTGACCATATTGCACTCTAGCACCAGTCACGTAGGCAAAGCCACCGGTTTATATACCTATATAACGTGTTAAACCCGACTACAATTTCAGTCTGGTGCAATTGCGCAACCAGTGTTACTCGAATAAAATGTTTACGGAGTCTCGGAAGTTACGAGTACTTTCTCCAGATATTAATTAAGCTTCGCTGCATAATTCGAGTCCAGTTTTAATCAATAATGATGTTCACGTGCCCCGAGAGAAAATATTAAGCCAATTATCATCTCAGTTTGATTGAGGCATGATTGACATAATTTCTCAAAAATGACGGCATGACTTGTTGTCAATGCAGTGACAACACTGAAGTCATCAGATTGATTAGTAATTTTTCGAAACAAATCATTTCTATGGATTACTGCGATAGAGTAATGGCAGTTTGAATTTTTGGATTGGATTTTTCTCCTCGTGTATTGGCGTTCGGATTTATGGAAGGAGTGACGAGGATGGAAAAATTGAGAGGTAAGATGTATCATAATGGAACAAGTATTGAGAACTCGTGGAGTCATGAAGCATTGGATGGGCAATTAGTGCCTGAGCATACAATGCAGTCGACTAGTCGCTCGAATCAGTAACGTTTGTTGCTGTATGAGTCCACTGGTTCATATCTGCTATGCAGTGTTTCACGACTCAGCTTGCTACTCCATTCCATTCTCCCTCGCATCGTAATTAGGGATTAAAGGGGATGTTGTGCGGTAACGTTGGAGTTTGTCACATAGATGATGTGTGAGGAGGATGCGTGAATGGTACACCCAGCTATTGCGATCATGATTAAATGCCCCGAGGGGAGAGAATCTCTATAACATAATGAAAGGAGGGGTGGAAAATTCTCATGACGTGTTGATCATTTCACTTGCAATTCAATGATTTTTTTTTCTATTCCGTTGATTGTATCTATTCAATTACTCATTAATGCGTCGAAAGCCGATACTTTGCTTCGGAAATTCATTCATTATGCACTTGCTTTAATTATCCCGAGAATAATTATGTCTGGCTTTTTGTGGCGTTAATAATATAATACGCTGAATCATTGATTTCAATTGACAGATTTATAGATCTGATTGTGAATGGACGCGAACAGGAATTGCGTGGGATTTTTGGTGAGTGTGATTAGGAGATCGGAGGATTTTATTTTGAGATCTCATTAGCATCGCCGTTACATCCTTCAGTTCATTAGGAATATGATGAAACGTGATATGGTCGTTGTAATTGTTTTGTAAGAGATACGGTACCAGGCGCCAACATCGCATAAATCCTGAGATGAAGGAACAAGTGTAATGTTCATTATTTTTTATTACGGGTTTACGCATCGTTTTATGGAGTAGTTGCATTGTGGAAATAATTTTACATTTGACCTTTCCACAAAGCGTGGTAATGGTTACACATTAAAAATATTTACGAGGATCTATAACCAACATAAATCGCCAACATCGGTATTAGCTGATGGTTATTTAATCACAACTTTGAAAATAGCGTTTCGATGTTATTGAGAGTCATTGCATAGAATTATATTGGTAAATTGCGAGATCAAAATCAATATTATTGCATTTTCAAATAAATTCTTAGATAAATTAGGAATAAAATAGTGGACGACGTATTGAAGCAAGTCGAAAGAACAATCTATTGCTTCAGAAGTAATATCAGTAATAAGAGATACCAATTTTCTTCACAATCATTTTCCAAATGATAATAATAGTTTATTTGCTATTTTTTTTCATAGAGAAGATTAGAAAATAGGGTTATAAAAAAAAATCAACCGTCTATTTGAAATGGAGATAAAAAATGAAATAGCTTTACCATTTACAAAAAATTGTTGTACACCTAGTAATGTGCATGAAAATGTGGGGGATAAGAGAAATTCATGTGCCTGTAGAAATGAAAATTGAAGGGTTAAATTGGTTGGGAAAATTTTGGGTGAGGGATGAAGACGGTGGAACGTGATGATCCAAGAGGTTTAGGTAAATTGAATAGTCACGAATCCATTTTTGGCGGTGATGGAAGAAGGGACCGAGAGTTTTCTCGCATGTCAGCAGACATGGAGGTGGGGAATGGAGAGTATTCCGGGGGTGGAAGACACGTGTACAGCGTTGGAGAACACTGAACCTGAAGATTTCCCGGGTGTACGTGTGTTAGATATATCACAGAGTGGGCTGATGGGGTGAGAATAACGTCTGTAAGGGAACGGTTAAGCTTGTACAACCGCACGATAATAATCGATTGAATTCAGTACACTCATACCTCAACCCAAGCTTCCTCAGGAATTCAATCCACCCTTATTATTCAGAGCGTTTATTCACCATCGAATTTTCGCATCTACGTGAATTTCTGTTCAGGCAAACTCCTATCAAAGTTTATTTTCTCCTTTTCTATCACCCCACCGCGATAATGACTCTCTTGAGTAGTTGAAAAACCCACAGGATTGAAATTTAATCGAAGCTGGAGCACCCCGAGAAAATCCAGACGAATTAAACTTTTCGATGTTAAATAAAAAATTTAAAAAAAAAAACATGAAATAACGTCGTCTGGTTTCATTCAGATAAACATGTGAGCTCGACAGAAAGTTTATCCCCAACTCGAGACTGAAAAAAGTTCATCAATACCTCCGTCTATTGCGCGTAAAAGTTGGTTAAAAATTAATAAAAAAAAAAGGTGTAAAATATTAAATCGAATTAACCTCTTTGAGTATGAAATATTCCATTTAATAGAGACGACTTGAAATGCCGATGTGGAAAAATTTACTAGTATCCATCATCCAGTGTGATTACCATGTGCATCAACACTGGATGTTTGCTAATCCTTGATTGAAAATGAGTACAAGGCAGTCACTCAATTGCTGCTCATCTCATTTCTATTTGTTCGATTACATGGGAACACTTTAAAATGTCTCTAGTCATTACACAGAATAATTGAGATTATTCAGAATAGGAAATCAGTGGACAGTGGGAGCTAGATCGGATCAATTATTTAGGGCTTATTTGAGGCTATCGTGATAATTTAAATTGAAAATATTCCTTTGATGTCTATTTGCTTGTGTGCTGAGATAACAGAGAAGCTGTACGTATGTGGCCACTTGGGGGATCATTGAATTTCGTAATGATCTGTTCGATGCGCCTGCGGATGCGAAAATTTCGTAATTGCACGCAGTGTCTCTTTGGTGGAGCGAAATGCAATCGGAGAATGGGATATTTCCACCAGGTGTATCATCGGATGACATTCACCGCTCGTGGAATTCTCGTGAATTCCCATAGCTCCATATTAACTGAGTGATTATGGATTTTTTTTTTTGTGAAGAAATAAATCTTGTAATCCTCTTTGAGACTATTTCACACAACTTTGAGATACTTAGTCTTGTGTCCCTTCATGGTTCAAGTCAAATGCCCGGTGATTTTCTTTGATGTACACTCAAGAGAACTCTTCAAACTCTCTCCGGTATAGTGTATAACGGCTATCTGAAGAACGTATTTCGATGGATAAAAATCGAGATAGAATGGAGGCGGCAGGAGTACTACAAGTTGGTACTCGTTTGAAAAAGATCGATTTCCCTTGAGTCACCGGGTTCGATATTTCGCACGAACGATCACCAAAACCTCTCTCTTCATCTCTCTCTACCTCTTGGATTTTTTCCTATCTCGTTTTACCCGGGCATCTTCAGGGGATGCTACGAGAACCTCTTTCACCGTTTCATAAACCCTTTGTTAAAACTCTTTGGCATTAACTTCAGAGGTTACACGCGTCTTCGATTTTTTCCACTCAACCGGTAAATTTGGTTCAAGGTTTTTTAATAACTCAAAGTTGATACCGCGATAATTGTTGGTCATCACTTTGAAGATTAATTGTAATTAGTGAGAATTGGTACTGATATTGGGGAATATTTTTGTCCCGGAATATTTTTGCGGAGAATTTTTGTTTATTTCAGGTGATGACGTTATCTTATTGCCGTATATGGAGAGAAAAATACGCTGTAATTTCACGTGAATCCGAAACAAGCAGTAGTGTGTGAAAAATTCGAACGGTCCACTCGGAAATTTTAACGTGGCACCCCAATTTTTGGAGCGCTTACGCAATCTCGACTTCAAGATATTTTAATAATAATAGGGATTTAAAAAGAAACATGAACTTTCGTAAAATAAAATATACAATTATCCAGAAATGACAAAAAAAATGTTACAGACTTATTCGTTGCACTCGCCGCAGTTACAATGAACAGGAAAATTTATGAACATTAAATTATCATTCTTTCAGGTATTTTACATTAATTTTCCGTCTCCAGGTTGGAAAAATAATCGACTACAAATTTTCCATACGTAAGAAAAAATGGAAAAAATCCATGAAGCAAGACACATGTAAAATAAAAACAAAAACTGAGTTGGAGCTCAGGATTCGCGTGTTTAAATTACGCAATCGAAAGACCTTCGACCCGAAAACATTCGCAGACAATGAGCGCTAGGAAAGGTGAGGTGTTTTCTTTTTTGGCAATATTATTGTGGGAATATGCTAGTCTTTCCCCGTTTATCTACAGGAAAAAGTCTTCATCATTCTCGGTATATTCATTCACATTTTATAGACTAATTTTCTGTGCATGATTGATCTGTAATATCGAGCCTGTGTTTCCTGGACAAACTTTCACCGTCAAAAGATCACCGTATCTGCGCCCATTGTGACCTGACGTTACTCTGGGTCACCTGAGTACTCACACCGCAATTTTCCACACCTGCCTCTTACTCTATTGCGCAATGCATTTAATCTATCGTATTTATCATCTTCCCATTCTACACAATTTGCCATTAATTTTGATAATCCCATACAACGATAGCTGCACACTGTCCAATATTCGTCACCTGAGTCATCTGAATTTTCACGAGTTCAATTCAATAAAGTGAATTTGAATAAAAAAATTGGATTCGCCACGTTTAATAACAATTGACTTTCCCAGAGTTTTCCGATTTTTCCGAAATTTCACATCAATTTATCATTGTTAAAGTTTTAATTTTTTCACTTGTCTAATTTGAAGTGTAATTTTCCAACAGTATAAATCTTACCTCTAAATTCCTCTCGTGTATGCGCGTCCTTCAATGCTGAACAAAGGGACGAAAATGTTAATCCTGACTGAGTGTAATCCTTTCCGGAGGATGTAAACGGATAAGTCCCTCCTCTGTGTGTAGGTTCGTACTATTTTTATCTCGACTTTTGTTAGATGAAAAATAAAATCAGAGGAGGTAGCCCAAGTTGAATACAATTGCACAAGCAATTATGATTCATTAGTACTGATTAGAATGCCACTATGTCTCAACGATTAAATTTTGAGACTTGAGTGTTGAGGTTTTTTTGATAAAAGTGTCAAGATCGAGTGTTTATTTTATTCTATTTCTCCACAGACGTGAGGAAATCTCGTAACGAATTCTTCGTAACTTCAGAGCCAATGGAGATATCAGTAAATAGTGGTTTTGAGCGGAATGACGACCTGCGATCGTAAAGAATGATCACTTGAGTTGATAAAATTGATGGGAGTCACCGGTTTATTCTTTACGTGTATTAAATCGTAACGTAGCCTGTTACACGGGTTACAATCATTTGGTGAAAGGCCGGACAACGCCCCGCGGCCTTCCCGCTTTGCAGAAATCCTGTGTTAATAATCTCATCGAGATCACTCCCAGATAACCGTCAGTTATCGTAATTAGATGATTTATTATTTGAAATGGTAAGAAAAAATCTCCAACGACAAATGAGAGAAACGAATGGAAAATTAATGATGACAGGTAGAAAACAATGGAGAGGAAAATGTGAAGCAGGGATTACCACTGATTGTCATACGCTGGAGGCACTCGGAGAAAATGAAGACAATGTCGAGAAATTGCGAGTCTCGTAGGACGTTTTGAGTCCCAGGAATAATGGGGATTTGAGGTGGGGGACCGAAAACGTTGGGCAAAATGGATGAGAGATTTCCTTGAAGGTTTGAGAGGACGCGCGAAAGAAAAAGGCGGGGATGTTGCTGATGAAGAAAGGCTACAAGAGTATATAAAGAGTGGTCAGACGCCTTGGAGCATCATACTCGACTTCAAATCATGAAGGTAAACGTATAGATATCTTGTGATAGTGCTGCTAACGCGTGTTATGTGATTGTCCATTTTTCATAATAATATTCAACCTATATTTCAGGTCTTCGGCGTAGCTTTTCTATTTGCCTTCGTCGCCACTTGCTATGGTTAGTATATTTTTCCTAATAAAAAAAAATTGCAATTGGAAAAAAACAGTAGGCGAAAAAAAAAGCGAAAAAAATTTAATTAATCGAAATTATTGGAAATTATTTGAATCAATCAGTTCTCTTTTTGTATCAATAATCATTAATTCGATTTAATCAGACCTCATTGAATCTGTTTATGGATTAAATGAGATAAATTATAATTTTCGATAATTATTGTTATTTAAAAAAATCAATTTAATTACTCAAATTTTACTGGAATTGGTGATTTCAGGGGGTTACATTAGCAGCGGTTGGTCTGGCGGTGGCGGTGGGGGTGGCGGTGGCTGGAAATATGGTGGGGGTGGCGGTGGCTGGAGTGGTGGTGGTGGAGGATGGAACGGTGGAGGTGGCGGATGGAGCGGCGGAGGTGGCGGTGGAAAAATTATCAAAGTGATAACAGTTGGTGGAGGTGGTGGATGGCCGAGTGGCGGTGGTGGGTGGTCGGGTGGCGGTGGTGGATGGTCCGGTGGTTGGAAATCCGGGGGTGGTTACAGCAGTGGCTGGAAACCAGCGACATATAAGTTGAGCGGTGGTGGAGGTTATGGAGGTGGCTACAGCAGTGGGTGGAAATCCGGTGGTGGCGGTTACACCAGCGGTTGGCAGCCCAGCGGATGGTCAAGTGGCGGTGGAGGCGGTAAAAATTTCTCTTATTATCAAATTCACGTTCATCATCATTTCTGCTACATTAATGATAATTATTCGTGCATTGAGTGTCGCAATGGAAATCCCTGAAATTTCAACGAATATTAACGCAATGAATTATCATTTCAGGCTGGTGGTAGACTAATGATGCAGACACACCAAGTGATGCTACAGTTATTTACATCTGTCGATCACCAGAACACATGTGAACCAACTCATTAAAACGTGATATCAAAATGAAGTTGTCTGGACAATGATTATTGTCATTGTTAGCAACTCAGTTTATTTTTTTTAATTTTGTTTTTTTTTACCGAACACTTGTCATGGGCTTCATGATTCAATGGAATAGAATAATACACACCTGTATAATGTCAGATCCTGCAGACAGTCAATAAAACTCAACCAAAAAGCACGCACCTAAAAACCTAATGGACATAAACTTTCTTCATCTCAACTTTCTGATTAACGTTTTCCTTTATTACACGAATATACCCCATGCAATATTTAATTTCATTCAAATTTCCTGCGCTACGTTACTCGTTTGTTCCTCTCACTATCTTCCTTTTGTTATTCATCCTCTTTCGGGAAACTGTCCAGTTCAGTTTGGACGACAAGAAATTCGTGAAAATAGAAGAACCAGGGAAAGAAAGAAAAAAACAATACATCCAAGCGGATGCAGCCATGACTCCAGTGATTCGAACTTTGCCGACATTGGCGAACAAACGAGAATTACTTCCGGCAACGACCAATTTTCCTTCTCCTCCCACTTAATTCAACAAGGAGATGCAGTCAGGAAGTTGGCAGATAGAGTGAGAGATCGAAGGTATGGCATACCAAGGGACAATGTTTAGCAGTTGACTACAGTGATTTTACGGAAACGTGTACAGAAAATGAACGTTTAGAGGCCACGGTGTGCGGGTATTACGCCAATCGATTTCTGGGTCTACGCAATTACGGGATGACGTTAATCGATGTTAGGGGGGTGCTGTAAATGACGCATGTGAGTCTAAATAACCCTCCCCCCTCACTTTTTCTCATCTTCTTGTTTGATCCCTTCTCTGGCCGTTACTGCCAGGATATTACGTCCAACCACGATAAACAACTTCATTTCATTAACGGAATTTGCCTTAGTGATATTTTATCGTGCACTACATAAATATTAAAAATCATGCCGGAATGGACTTATTTCATAGAAGTCCCCTTATAAATTTTCCTTTGTGTCAATTACGAGCAGTTAATTTTTTTTCAATGCTCATTTGTTGTTCGATGATCGATTTGTCTTTAAAGAACTAGTCGTGAATCTGAATGTCGGAAAAAATCGGACATCTCTTTAATTCTTCTGTGGTCCTGTCAGAAATGGAAGAAAATCAAGGAGTTACACATTTTTTTTTTAAATCCAAAGTTCCACTAAAAGAGAAAATGTTTTTTGGTGTATCAATATTTTATGCATGTCGTCACTAGAAGTCGTAAAATGGATTCAAAAATTGAAACACGAAAATCATCGCAGCGAAACGGGCAATGTGGAATATATATATTTTTTATATATATGTGTTTTAATTTTATTTTTTTATGAGATTTTGTGTTTACCTGCGGAATATGTGCAGCCATTTTTGGTGAATCCAGAAACCGGAATGATGTTTGAACCCTCACGAGCTGACGAGAAATAATCCATAAAACATTTCATCACTAGTGCAACCTAGTTATGATTTTTAATGTTAGAGAATTGGGAATCCTTCGAAATCGTGCGCATTGCGGTTCTAAACGTTGAGTTGTCTTTCGTTAATTAAACATGTAATCCGCATTTTCAAAAGTAATCTCGTCAACATCAGTATTGATCAAAATTTCACGGTCCACATCTGAACACATCCGATCGAATGGAATCGAGATCGACAGTAATTTGAATATGAGCTATTAATTACCTGAAAATTTCGCGGCGATGTTGATTTATTTCAGGATTCATTAACCCGGAAATAATAGTCATTCCGAACGACGTTGAAGAATGAAAAAAAGGCATAATAACGTTAAAAAAATTCGATAGACGGTTTACTATGGCGAGATATTGATTGGCTCTGGGCAAATTTATTTTCATTTTTTCCGCTTATTTTTTATCCCTCCCCATCACGGGCGCTTTTTTTTCAATCCTCTAGTCGTTTTTCATCAGCTGTTTGACTTTTTCGCGTCTAGCTATTTATAACTCATCTGCGCATGAGTCGAAATGGTTCCAATGAAACTTGACAAGAGAGCCGAGAGAGAGGAAATGAGTGAAGGCATGAAAATGAGAGAGAGAGAGAAAAAGTGAAAGAGTTCACTGGCGCTAATTGGGTCCTTCAGATATCCACGCTCCAGGAATCTACCGAGCCATTCCAATCCTTTTCCGTTTTTTTTTTTTTTTTTCATCCAGGTATGAAATAGAAAATACGCGGATGCTAATGAGTTTGAGCACCATCCTCAACGAGGAGAAATTCTTCAATTTTTCCGGGCGATCGTTGACGAAAAATTGAGACGTGTATTTTAATATATTCATACAATTTTATTGATAGAAAAAAATATGGTGTTAAATATTGAACAATATCTACTTTTTCCGTTCATGAATTCTCGCAGTAATTATTTCTAAAAAAAATTCACTGTTAATTCTAGGTTTTATTCCTCACGACTGATTCCTTTTTCGCTCTGCTACACATTAATAGAGTAGTTGAAAATTAAAATAAAAACCCTATCTTTCATAAGCAGCATTAATTTGTGCGTATGAACTGAATACTGAATTCAGAGAACGACGACACATATAAATTCGCAGATAAATTACATTTATGCAATCGGAATTTGCGACAATAATGCACGCAATTTACGACTATTACATAAATATAATTCACAGTAATTGTAAGCGTAATTTATGATTTGGAAAGTAATAAATGGCGTTCAGTTCAGTGGCAGCAATTTACGAAGATTTTGAGCGTCATTAATCCTTTAACTTCAATCGTAAACTTCGTTTCGGAAAGCGTAAAATTCTCTGTACATGATGTAGGTAATTAACGTTCAAGATTTTTTGGGTGGAAGCGCCTCTAAACGTTGGATGATTGCATCAACATATGAAACATTATTACGAGCACATTCATTGTATTGTAGATTCACTCAACTGGTTGAGGCGCACTTAATATTTCAATTATCATTTTGACAGACAATGACATGTGGTGGCCAGGTAGCTCCTGTGTACATCGGGTGCGCATTTGTATCAAATAAATGGGGGACAGCGATTTACGTTATGTGAGTGCTTGACCGTTCATCACCGGCAATTCTATTTCATTTAACGACTATCGATGACGAGGAGGAATTGAATTAGCGTGGATTACGATGAGGACACCGTATGTCATATATGAAACGGGAGATTTCGGAGTTGAAATGTGCGGTTGGATGGCAGAAGGGAATGCTAGAGAGGTTTTCTGGTGGACATGCAGGCCCGTTTTGCGGTATGAATTTGACATTAGCCACGAGGAAGACTCATTTTGTAATACTGCACGTACATCTGTGTCCCTTTTTTTAAACTACGGTGCCCTAATGTCCTGTGTACAATCCCGACATTCCCACACTGAGTGAAATATTCACTATTTATATTTCCCGATAGGTTGAAAACAAATAAAATGAAAAATCACAAGTGCGAAACCCGAGGCAGTTTATTCTAACAAATTTTCTTTAATTTTTTAGTACCCTGAGAGGTGTTGAAAATCATGGAGTACAAATTACAAGTATCTCAGGGCGACATTTAGAAAAGTTCTGAAAGCCTCTCGTATCATATTGTATAGTGGCGCGAATAGTGTCTGAAAAAATGTCGTCTCTCGTACATAGTACATTCTGCAACAATAATTTATTATTCGTTGCGCGTTTGTGTATCACCGCGGAACGTACATACATAAAAGAGGTACTGCTCCGTGTATCCACAGAGTTAGCGGCTGGAGTGTACTATGGGAAAAGGAATGGAGAAAAGTATGAAAAAACGAGGGCAATGCAAATAGAATAGTACATTGCGAAACCGAAAAACGACCAAAATTGTGTTTGGAGGGAGCAAAAAATTATAGAACATTACCGTAATTTTTCATGATGTGTACTTGTCTTCCCTCACCTAGAATTAATTTACACTAGACTTAATTTATTCAATATTAATCCCTACAACTGAATAGAATTTTAAAATGTGCAATTGTTAAGTAACATTGAGAAGTGCAGACTCTCATTATTGAAAAAGAAAAAAATACGGAGAGGGTCAGCACAAAAACGATTCATACTTTCATTCGCAGCAGAGATGGACTCCTCTGGTTATAAAAATTACACGCATTCCCACATCTGAGTTGGAGGAAGGCAGTGGCGAGATAGGATCAATCCACAAGGTCTGAGCAGGAAATGGAAAGGCGAGTGAGCGCCGGCAGAAAGGCGGAGAAATTTCCACAGGGGTTGAAAAAAAAAAGCGGAAACATGGGGAATGAGTACCGTGAATCGTGAGCTTTTGATTCAAAAAAAGCGCCGTTTGCATGTACCAGTATACACATCCTTCATCCGCGGGCGCATATCGTTTGCATTCTCTTTTTCTTTTTTATTCTCTTTGTACAACTCACTGTACTGTGCCAAAAGCGGGAATATTTTCCGTCTCACCGTATCCC